ATTTAAGGTCTGCGGAAATGATGGAATTAGAATTGAATTTGAATTAAAATTATTTGAGATTCAATTACATAGGCTTGAATTCATCAATTACAATTCATTTTTTGCAATATCAATTTCAAATCCACATTAATTTTGTACTACCAAATATCGAAATTGGAATTGAACTTTTCAATTCCAATTTCATAGTTTGAATCCCGTGTACTAAACGGGATCTTACTCACCGCATAACGTGCAAAATTTACTCATGTGACCACTTGAGCTGCTTGAGGGCTAGATTTTTCTTTTTTAGAATTTCTAAAAGTTACTGAGTAAGTTTTATGGCCAAAAACCCTTTGGTCGAGTTACATAAATGTGGCTCTCTCAAAAAGAAAATTACAAATTCGAATCAGAGTGCTTAATATTTTGGTTGATTCTTTGTGCTTAAATAGGTTGGAAAAATACGTACAAATAGATACTTTATTTTAAGAAATATTTGCACTAAATAGCACTAAAAATTAAGTTATTTCCGTGAATAGCACTTAAATTGTTTTATTTCTTAAATAGCACGTACTTAATAATGTCCATAATATCCAGTGATGGCAAATATTTACTTGAATAATGACTAAAAGTGCTACATTGGGAAGAGAAACACATGTAGTGTTATTTAGGGAAAGTCATTATGTTTTAGAGCTACTTAAGTAAATTCCTCTTATTTTAATATACTCCATCCGTCCCTAAATATTTGTCACACTTGTATTTCCGAGGTAATATCAAGTTTTTTCAATTCAATTTATTTATATATTGGTATAGAAATAGAAAATAAAATTTACATGTCAAAAAATTACATGAAAAGTTTTTCAAAATAAGAGGTGTCAAGAATATTTTATTTTATCAAATAACCAATGAAAACGTAGAAATAAACAAAAGTTCCCGCGACTGCTGAAAACGCAAGTGTGGCAAATATTTTGGGACGAAGGGAGTAGTTAATAAGAAATGTTAAAAAGAGTTGAGATATATTATCGTTCTATATAACTTCTAAAACTTTCCTCCCATATATAAAATGATACTCCCTCCGTCCCAAAAAGTTTGTTACGTTTAGAAAAAACTGCGTCCTGTAAAGTCCGTTACATTTCTATTAAAAAACCACTTTTACCCCTTACTTTTTCATACCCTACCTATCACATCATACCTTTTTCCTAATAATCTACCCATCACATCCTACTTTTACCCATCACATCAAGGGTATTTTTGGAAAGTCAATACCAAAATATCCTTCCCTTAATTTCCCAAAAAGTCAAACTGTCCCATTCTTTTTGGGACGGAGGGAGTAATAGTGTAGTGTGAGGGCAGTGTGATGGTAGTGAAGAAGAATTATTTTCATTGATTAAATTGTGAGGAGAGTACATGTATATATACAAGAGTCTCAATCCTAATTAAGGTAAGAGAGACAATCTAGGAAACCTATACAAATATGGTAACAATAATAATACAATAATATTAAATATATTATATATATATTTAACATGCTCCCGGCTACGTCGACAGTGCTGGGGTCAGATACCCTGGCTTTCTCTGAAGTCAAGAAATAATTGTGAGGGCAGTCCCTTTGTGAAGATATCAGCAAACTGAGAAGATGACAGAACATGCAGGACTTTGATCTGACCGAGCGCCACCTCATCACGCACAAAGTGTATGTCAACCTCGACTTGCTTGGTGCGCTGATGCTGCACCGGGTTTGACGAAAGGTAGACCGCACTGACATTATCACAAAAGACAAGTGTGGCGCGACGGAGTGGCTGCTGGAGCTCAAGGAGAAGGTTTCGGATCCAGCTGGTTTCAGCAACAGCATTCGCTACAGCCTGGTATTCCGCCTCGGCGCTGGAGCGAGAAGTAGTGGCCTGGCACTTAGACGACCATGAGACAAGGTTGCCGCCGAGGAAAATGCAGTAGCGCGAAGTAGAACGTCTGGTATCAGGACAGCCAGCCCAATCAGCGTCTGAATAAGCCTGTAGGTAGTCGGTGGCGGATCTTGTCAAGTAAATGCCATGAGTGGCAGTGCCACTGAGATACCGGAGAACACGCTTCATGGCTGTAAAGTGGGCGTCGTGCGGGGCATGGAGGTGTAGGCAGAGCTGCTGGACTGCATATGTGATGTCAGGACGAGTGAATGTGAGGTACTGCAGCGCGCTAACAATGGATCGGTAAAGGGAGGGGTCGGAGAGCGCCGTGCCAGCTGACGCAGATAGCTTCGCCTTTGTATCCACCGGGGTTGAGATGGGCCGACAAGAAACCATCCCTGCCCTATCAAGGTTGTTGTGCGCGAACCGGGGTTGAGATGGGCCGACAAGAAACATGATAATGTGGATTCCTATTAAGATTTTAAGAAAGGGAAAAACACTAAAGTATGAGCAAAATATTGAAAATATATCAAAATATGACTTCTATGTTTTTATTTCTGAAATAGGAGTTAAAATACATTTACATTCCCAGACATGGTCATGTACATTACCAAAAATATAGTAATGTGTACATGTACAGTACCGCATAATTACCACCACATTACCAAAGAGCGAACTCTTTTTTCGGTAATAAAAATATGAAACTCCTATTTTGATACTTTTTCTATGTTTTAGTCATATTTAGGGAGATTTCTATTCAAAAAATAAATACCCATATTTTGATATTTTTATACTAATTTATTCTTATTTGAGAGTTTTCCGAAAGAATACATGTGTGTTAGTTTCGATCGAAAATATTTCAACAACATTCTTAACTATTCCGTACGAAGTACTTTTTAAATTTTCCAATATTCAACAAGGATAAAGCTATTTGTATCCCATTTCGTACACCGCAAGGATGCACCAATATTTTGTGTTGGTGTTATACTATTTTTTGTTAACGCACCAACCCTTTATGTCAGTGTAAATTTTTATTAACGCACCAACACTTTGTGTCAGTGTCAAGGCCGGTCGTGAGAATTCATATGCCTGGGACGAAACAGAAAAAAGGCCCTAAAAATCTTATCCCTAATGATCTAACAAAGGCCCTAAAAAAGTCCTAAAAATCTCATCCCTAATGATCGTTTTCTCTTTTTCCTTTTTTGACTACCGGATAATTGTTTAGGAGTCATAGCTATTGAATTATTTCTGAAATAAAATTCAAATTCATAAATTCTACTACTTACGGAGTAGTTACCTTAGTAAAATCAAATATGTAAACTGAAAAAGCAAGCAAATAAATAAATATATCATAAATTCATTCCAATTCGTCAATTTTTCTTTTTTAATTGTTTTTTATTTTTCAGTTTTAATTTTTTATAAATCATATATTCATATCAATTTGTCAATTTATCAATTTTTAATTTTTTTGATTTTCAGTTTTTTTATATAAATATGTCATAAATAACAAATTCAAATCAATTCATCCAAATCAAATAAATAACATATGGAACCATTAATTCATTCTATTTCAAAGAATGAAATTAGAAAAGATTTAAATTAAAAACTAATAATTAACCCTGGATTTTAAATCTAAAAAATTAAAAAATGAAAGAAATTTAAAAAAAATACAAAATACAAAATTAGAAAGCTATGAATAATTGAATATGTTAGAGTATAAGCCATGTTCGGCGACATCGTTTGTTAGAGTATAAGCCATGTTGGGTTACTATGTAGCATGCTCCATTCAACAAACAATTTCCTGTTTTACTTAAAAAGGAAGCCCGCGGCCTTAGACTGTCTAATCTAATGTGGATTCTTGAACTCCTCCAATATCACGCCCACCTTGCACCTAATTAATCGGCTTCTTTTTTCTTTTAATTTTAAAAACCCCAAACCTTAGGGATTCTTAATGCACACAAACAGGAATTACATCTTTCGTGTACGTACACCTATATTGGATGGACAGTATGAACACACTCTTTATATGATCCAAAAACCTAATCTAATTCCATGGGTCAATTCAAGACAAATGCGTTAGAAACTTAGTTTTTCATACTCCGTACAAAAGTTGATTATTAAAATAAAATCACTTCCTTCATCCGAAAATTTTCTTTCCATTTGATTTTTCAAGTTTTAATGAAAGAGAATTATTTGGGAGGAAAATCTCTATATTTCTCTCTTGTCTGTACAATTTACAATGAAGCCATATATATAGGATCTCACAAGTTGAGACTCCTAATTAGTAAAGGAAAAGGAAAAGGAAAGAATTCCTATACAAGAAAAACTACCAAAATAATATATACACAAATATCTCCAAATATTCTCCGAATATATTCTTTCCTTTAACCCCCCCTCAAGTTGGAGCATGTAATAACGAAATGCCCAACTTGGGAAGAAGAAACTCCAAACGTGACTTTCCGAGTGCCTTTGTATGAATGTCTGCAAGCTGATGCGTAGTAGGCACATAAAGTGTACGAATCTCTCCTCGCAAGAGCTCATCACGAACGAAGTGACAATCAATCTCAATGTGCTTCGTGCATTCGTGGAAAACCTGATTAGCAGCAATGTGAAGTGCCGCCATGCTGTCACACCGGACCGTCATGGGGTTCTTATGCTCAACCCCTAAACACCGCAATACATTCTTCAACCACTTCAACTCACATGTAAGGACAACCAAAGCTCTATACTCTGTTTCAGCAGACGAGCAAGCCATCGTCGACTGCTTCTTTGTTTTCCATGAGACAGGCGAGTCTCCAAGCTGCACAAACCACTCTGTCAATGACTTGAAGGAATAAAATTTAGCCAAAAATGAAAGCATAGTTCTAGAGAGTAGGGAAATTTTTAAACACCATAGTCACAATCCAAAGGAGCACTAACCGCAAGAATAAGGAGAAACAAATCAAGTTAAAGTAAATGTGCTATATTTATTGGCCTCTTTCCACCGTTAATTTGGTGGGCGAATGCAAATGGAAAAAGGACCAAAAAAAGGTGACGGAAACTTTATACCACCTTTTGTGTGTGTGTGTATCTACACACACACACACATATATATAGCCGTTCCACACGAGTAGAAAACAAGATCCCTCTGCACGCTCACTTTCTATAACTTTATCGGGTTCAATTTGAGCCCCACGCACCTTAAATAGTTCAAAATTCATACTACTAGCTTTCGCCATGTGTTTTACCATACTCCAATCCCTCCCTAACAGGATTGCAGCAACCGCCGCAGGCCGTCCGTCACTGCCATTTTCAGGCTCCAAATGTCAGACCCGCCGCAGCCGATTGCGCATTCAGCGTGGCCACGCTACCGGAATCCGAACAGTCGACGCTGCTCAGCACTCCGGCTACAAATCGCAGGGGTCGAGCATAGTTAAGGACTCGGGCAAGCTGAGAATCGCGGTCATAGGGTTTGGGAACTTTGGTCAGTTTCTGGCCAAGACGTTCGTCCAACAAGGCCACTTTGTGATGGCTCATTCGCGCTCCGACTATTCCCGCGTCGCTCGATCGATCGGCGCCGCCTTTTACGCCGACCCGCGCAACCTCTGCGAGCAGCATCCTGACGTCATCCTCCTCTGCACCTCCATCATCTCCGCCCAGAGAGTCCTCCGTTCTCTTCCGGTCCAAAGGCTGAGGCCCAGCACCCTATTCGTTGATGTGCTCTCTGTGAAGGAATTTCCGAAAAACATCTTTCTCCAAGTGCTGCCCAATCATTTTGATATCCTCTGCACTCACCCAATGTTCGGGCCGACGAGCGGGAGACACGGCTGGAGGGGGTTGCCTTTTGTGTTTGACAAGGTCCGTATTGGCGAAGAGGAGTCCAGAGTCTCGAGGGCAGAGAAATTCCTCGACATTTTTGCCAAGGAAGGGTGTAGGATGGTGGAAATATGCTGCGCAGAGCACGACCGGCACGCTGCTGGCTCCCAGTTCATGCGCACACAATAGGGAGATTGCTGGAGAAGCTGGGGCTTGAAACGACGCCCGTCAATACAAAAGGGTACGAGGCATTGCTGGATTTAGTGGAGAGCACATCTGGGGACAGCTTCGATTTGTACTACGGGCTGTTCATGTACAACAAGAATGCAATGGAGCAACTTGAGAGGCTTGACTCTGCATTTGAGTTGTTGAAGAAAGAGCTTTTCAGGCATTTCCACAACAAATTGGGGAAGCAGTTGTTTGACAAGGTTGAGCAAACGGGGGAGTGAATCCAAGCTACATGCCTTAGAATGCATGGCTGTGCATTGCCACCCCATCGTCATCCACTGACCCCTTGGCAACCTAGAGCAATTGAGCATATCACAGATCTTGTACTCCCTACTTGTTGCATAGTAAACCCTTCATTGAATAAAAACACAATTACTCCTACAGTTCTTGAAAAGACTTCCCGCCCTAACTTTTTGCGCACCCCATGAAATACTTTTACTCTACTTAAAATGTTTAAAATACCTCCAAAACCATTTCTACCCGCAATAAACTACATAATGGGATGTATTTTAGACATTTTAGGTGGAAGTAAGAGTATTTTATGAAATGCGTAAAAATTTAGGGCTGAAGTGTTTTCAAGAACGGAGGGAGTAAGCATTATACTACATCCATCCCATTTAAAAGTTCAACAATGTCATTTTTTTGTCTATTAAAGAGTTTATTTTCTTTTCACATTTTACTTTCCACTCCCCATCACATCAAATCAATAATTCATTCTAAATTTAAATCACTCCTTCGGCTAATGGGTGTGTGCACAGGATGCGGCTTGGTGACGCCAATCCCGACGGGGAACAATGCCCGCCCCTAGGCATCTTGGGCAAAAACACGCCAATCGCGCCAATTGGTCCAAAGGTCTCTTTTTATTTGTTTTGAATTATGACCGTTTGGCATTGAAAATAAAATGAACTTTTTTTTTTCTTTTTCTTCCTTTTTTAACCATTCCATCGTCTCCAACCTTTCGTTCATTCCCTCTTCAATATTTCCACTTATGCTTCTCTACTCTCACAAATTTGTTCATTTTCATTCCCTATTCTTACCAAAATGGACCCAAACCAATCAAATCACTCGCAATTTCTATTACCGGGTAGTACCAGGTTTCAATCATATGCCAATTTCAACCAATCCGGTTTCAATCAATGGCGACCAAGCAAACGATACCAAATGTACTTCACCTTGTCATTTTTGGGTATCAAACCCCTCCCACACCGTATGGAAAACAGAAAGGGAACCAATACTTATATGGTTACCTAACCCCATTAGTATGAGACCTTTTGGGAGGTGCCCAAAAGCAAATCCGTGAGGACTCGGCCCCCGAGCGGACAATATCATACTAATGCGGGGTTAGGGTGAGGAGACGTGCAGTCCCAACAGTCACCACACACACAGATCCCAATTGTACCAACCCTCACAATCGTACTACACTCTGCGCCACCGCCCTAATATACGTACTACACAACGCCACCACAACCTAGAAAAATAATTGGAAGGCTCCAACCACAGAAAAGGGAAAAAAATGGTCCCACTGACCCGAGGACAAATAAGTGTTAACAAACGACTCAAGAGGAGAGCGCATTGGCAAGAGCTAGGGTTAAAATCTCCGAAGACCCAATAAAAGGTTCATTTTTCGAGTAAATTCATTTATTAACTTAATGATTTTGCAATAAAGTCACAAGCCAATTTCATGAGATTCTTCAACAACCGCATTATGGCTGGTGTTTTTTGTTGTGTGAAGTTCACAGGGGCACAGTGTGCCAACCAAACAGGACTGAGAAAAGTGCGGATGGCGGCTTGAGTTGTGCGAAGTCAACGGTGTGCCAAACTGGAACAAGAGGTGATCTCCAGGCTAGTGGAGTAAGGTCGGAACGCCTTGTGTTGAAAGTCTTGTCGACAGAGACAAGTGGTCGGGCGGCGTGTTCGTCAGGTACGTTGTTGCGGCGGTACAAGAAGATGGCAGATTAAAAATGAAAAATCGCTAGATGGGAGGTCATTGGATTGTGTGGTCTGGGTTTGAAGGGAGGTTTATTGGGTATCAAACCCCTCCCACACCGTATCGAAATGAGAAAAGGAACTGGTATTTATATGGTTACCCAACCTCATTAGTATGAGGCCTTTTGGGAGGTGTCCAAAAACAGATATGTGAGGACTTGGCCTAAAACGGAAAATATCATAATAATTCGGGATTAAGATGAGGGCACGTGCGGTCCCAACAATCACCACACAGATCCCAACCGTTCCAACCCTCACAATCGTACTACACCCTGCCGCCACCGCCCTAATATTCGTACTACACGACGCCACCACAACCATATCAAGCACACGACATTAGTTCTACGGACGACGTTGTGCCTGAAAAATAATTGGAAGGCTCCAACCGCAGAAAAGGGGGAAAATGGTTCCACTGACCCAAGGACAATAAGCGTAAACAAACCATGTACGACTCAAGAGGACATCGCGTTGGTGAGACCTAGGGTTAACATCTCCGAAGACCCTAAAAAAGGTTTATTTTCCAAGTAAATTCATTTATTAACGTAATGATTTTGCAATAAAGTCACGGGCCAATTTAATGAGATTCTTCAACAATCACATTATGGTTTGTGTCTTTTGTTGTGCGGAGTTCCCGGGGGGGACACTGTGCCAACCAAACAACCAAACAGGACTGAGAGATGTGCGGATGGTGGCTTGAATTGTGCAAAGTCGATGGTGTGCCAAACTGGAACAAGAGGTGATCTCCAGGCTAATGGGGTAAGGTATGCAGGAATGCCTTATGTTGAAAGTCTTGCCAACAGAGACAGGTAGCCGGGTGGCGTGTCCTACGGGTTTTTGCGGCGGTACAAGAAGATGGCAGATTAGAAACGAAAAATCGTTGGAGGGTAGGTCATTGGATTGTGTGGTCTGGGTTTGAAGGGAGCTTTGTTGGGTATCAAACCCCTCCCACACCGTATCGAAAAGAGAAAAGGAACTGGTATTTATATGGTTACCCAACCTCATTAGTATGATGCCTTTTGGGAGGTGCCCAAAAACAAATATGTGAGAGTTTGGCCTAGAGCGGAATCGTACTAATGCGGGGTTGAGATATAGGCACGTACGGTCCCAACAGAGCCGTTCCAAACCTCAAAATCTAACTACACCTTGTTGCTGCTGCCCTAAGAACCGCACTACACAACACCACCACAACCATCTCAAGCAGACGACATTACTTCTACGGACGACGTTCTGCCTGAAAGATAATCGGAAGGCTCCAACCGCGAAAAAGGGGGAAAATGGTCCCACTGACCCGAGGACAATAAGCGTAAAAAAACCATGTCACGGGCCAATTTCATGAGATCTTTCAACAACTGCATTACCGTCTATTTTACTTTGTTAGTGCCAAGCTTCGAGACGTGAACAAGAAATTGGGTTGGTTTGGTGGTTTCTACCAAAAATCCTCAGACCAACCCCGCTAGTGATGAGAAGGTTCTTCAAGTCACCATTACAAATTATCACGCAGAACATGGGGTGTTTCAATATATGGGGGTGTGGGAAACTCTATGCACTCGTATGAAGTGGGGATCAGTGTCAGATGAGGTTGAACATGCCAAAAGGTCTAAAGCATCCAAGTCAGAGGACTATAGCACTAGGGCTTCAGATGCACATTTCTCATTTGCCAAGCATACTATCTGATTCAATAATTAGTGATTTTTTTACATTAGACCTTGAGTCTAAAGGCTATTGCCTCTTTTTCTTTATTGAAAAAAATTAAGAAAAAACTTTGAACTTGGTGTTCTAGGGTTTGGGTGGCTGCAGGGATGGGGTGCAGGAGGCAAACGAAAAGCGATGTGGGTAGCGGTGGCAGCCTTCTGAAAAAAGGCGACTAGCCTGCAGACTCACATTCGTTGGTGTATGCTATATTTGTTGCTGCTATTTTGTGTTTCTTGTTGGTCTTTGTTTAAATTTTTAAATGAATTTCCAAAGAATAATATTCTTCCATCCCACAAAAAAACAAAATTTATATTATACAACCGGTTGTAAGGTTCTTCCTGTAGAGCTGGCGAGAAATTAGCAACAGCAACAAAGGCAAGCGAACAATGGAAGCACCAGCGACCATGAATGGAACTGAAGAGAACAAGGCGATGGCAATAATCGAGACTGTGTAACATCAAGACAGCTACATCGATAAGGAAAACCTAGTTCGACCAGCGATGAACACTACGTCGATGGAGGAGGAAATCCCAGTTCCCCGGCGGCGCAGTAACACCCCAACTCGCGTAACTCGAACTAACGAGTTAGCGAACCGTGTTGTTACTAAATTGGTATTTGCAAGCCAAATAATTCAAAAATATTTAATTAAAATTCAAACATTTCAAAACAATTCAATTATCTTTCAGAGTTAATTCAAAATAGTGTGGAAGCTTTGTGAAATGTATCATGTCAATTAGATAACCAACCCATTAATGTTTTAACCGATATGCATCCTGAACATTCCCTTCCCTCTCGCTGCCTTCTCGAAGTAGCTTTAACAAAACACCAGCGTGGCAGCGTGTAGTCAAAAACAACAAAGACTGCACACTACTCAAAGATGAGTGAGATAATAACTAACACTAGAGTTTACTCATAAATAGTATCACATTCATATATAATCAGATAACATTAGTGAACAGGAAACTTTATTGTCCGATGTCAAGATATCAAAATTTTCAATTTCATTTCCTCACAACTACTAGTACTAAACAAACCTAAACCTTTAAGGCTCAATTCAACAAGCTAGAGTTACAGACACTCAAGCGGATCCCACGAGGCCGACGGACAAACCCAAAGAGGATTCTCAATGGGCAGGATGGAGTCCCTACCAAGGGTTCCCTTAGGCAGGACAATAACTCTTCTATGTATGTGTTAAACCCTAGGCAACTGGATATGCGAAAACGCTCCACAATGCCCAAACCTAACAAAGTCCTATTGGTGTTTAAGCTAATCAATTAAGTTTAGATCCGTCTAGATATACTAGGTGACCTATTTCTCAACAGAGTTCACATTTCAAAAGCACACCAATAAGCTCATAACAACACATACTTTAAGAAAACAATCAGCAGCCTATCGAAAGAACCAAGTCCCACCTATTAGAGTCATACTCAGATATCAAGATAAATCTCAAATGACATTAAATAAACTTAGTTGTGTCACGAATTCGGGACCAAGGACCATATCCTCAGGCCCACTGCCCCCACAGGAAAAATGCAATCACCACCGGATCAGTCCGGCGACCCGCCGCACTAACCCGGCAACCCAAAACTATCAACCCACGGCCCAGCAGGCGACTGCCCATTGCCCGGAAGCCCTGCTGCCGCTTCGGACAGCCGGTCCAAACCTGGCCCAAGCACCAAACAGTCATCTAGTAACCACCACCCAGTCCAAACATATCCAATTCTAACCTAGTGGCACCCCCAAACAGATACAGTTTACCCCAATAGAATCCAAACCAACCCAATTGCATTCAATTAAATCCAAACAGACCCAATTACATCCGATTGAACCCAAACCAACCCAATTGCATCTGATTGAACCCAAACAGAACTAATTGGACCACATTGTATCTTATTAGACTTGCCTTGTACAATACTAGCTGCTGTTGCCCCTCCTGCTGGTGGCCCACCGGAATCCGTATAAAATTACAACCCCAAACCCAACCTAGTCATGCTCATATCCCAAACCAACAATCAATTCAACAATTCCAACAACCAATTCATACAATTTCACAGTCAATTGCAAGATTAATACCAACGAGATCCTAATCTACAAATTAATGCTAACGTTACACATATGGACCACGACTCACCTTGATAATTGAAGAAATTGAAACCTTGAATTGAGAGAAGGAATTGCTGCTGCTAACGCAACTTCCCGTCGAAATCTACCGTGCACGCAAGAGGAAGATGTCGGCCATGGTGGACTGGGAGGGCCTACGGAAGACGACACTTGGCAACGAGGAAATATGAAAAGGCGGCGGTGGATTTCCCATCCTCTGTTCGACCGATTGACGAAGCACGAGAAACAGGTCTGGGGCGGAAATAAAGTACTCCCTCCTTCCCCAATCCTTTATACGGAGTATATAAAATTGGAGAGTTCAGCTTCCAGAGAATCAATGATGATGACATTTGGCATGTTGACCGGACAGAATTTTAAAAAACTCATTAGCCATGTCATCAACGGATCAATTGGGATTTCCTAATTAATTTGGATCTAAAGGAGTAATTAAAGGACCATGCCCAATGGATGGCTAGATACTTAAGGATTTTTTTTGAAAAAATTTTAACAACTCATCAGCGATGTCACAAACGGAAGTGTATCAATCGAGCAATTTTTTCACATGTCAGCACGCCATGTCATCAAGTAATATTTAAGTATTAGTTAAAAAAAACTTATTCTATGGAAATTAAATTTTGTATTTGTTACACATAAATTTCTCAGCATAATTGCGTTTAAAAACTTTTATATCTTAATTCATTCTTAGAAAATATCTAAAGTAAATAATATATTTTGAATTTGAAAAAAAGAACTCATATTAAAAAAAGAATTCAAACAAATAAATTTATTCTGAGAATGTATAGATTGGTAAGACTAAAAGAAATTACATGTGAATATTTGTTTTTACTTTGAATTGATACTAATTGGAGAGATCTACAAATTTTGAAAAAATAAAAATAAATATATAAAAGGAGATGAATTTTAATGAGCATGTTTTTTTGATAGAGCATTGATTTTATTCTGTATATATTAAAAAACTCTAAGTCAAACAACAAGTACGTTCTATTTTAAAATTAGTATTTTTATTTTTAAATTATTATTTTTCATTACTAAATTTGTAAAAATTTATAGATGCGTGCCTCAAAATTACTATTTTTAATTAATAATTTGTAAAATGGTGAAGACTTGGTACGAGGGTACGTATGTGTAAGAAATTAATTGTTAATTAGTGTTCCTAATCGAAATTATCTACACAAAGTTGTTGCTCTAATAGTTAGAGATCTTGATTCATCTAATGAAGAAAGATACATCATCATTCTGAAAAAGATGAATTCTTACTAAAAGTCCATGAGACACATACTGCTTTCCTACCTCTGTAATACTCTTTTTTGTTTCCTTTAGTGGAGGATGATTATGAAGAAAATATCCATATAAGGGAATCATTTTTGTGCAAAAAAATGTAAAGCGCCAAAGAGTGTCAATAAGAGAATTTGTTGCATTTCAAATATAAGAAAGAAAAAATGATGTGTGTTGTTTGCACAAAGATTATTTTTATAATTTTTGGTTGATGCATACACGATAGTTGAAGCACAAAGAATCCAGTACGTGCATTTAAACTAGGATTAAGTTATTGAGAAATTATGAGTAGCTCACATGAAGTTGTGATCAAAGATGATACTGAATCGGTACTCATTGGGCAACAAATTATCCTATCATCTACATTCACTGGGGGAATGAGATATATGTTTAACAACTAACAAGATTTAATGGCCATTTGTTGAATATTTGGTTATCCAGATTTATTCATTACTATAACATGTAATCCCCAATGGCCAGAGATTGCAACATATATGACAATAAGAAAATGTGAAGCTAAAGACATACCTGACATTGAATCTTGAATCTTTAAAACAAAATTGAACCATTTGGAGAACGACATAAAATAGGGTTTATATTTGGCAAAGTAATTAGATGTAATTTTAAAGTTTCCTATATTAGTTTCATTTAAATAATAAAGTTGTAGTTTGGACATTCAATTTAAAATATTGTCATTTGAACATAATAATTTTGTGCATGTTTGTACACTACTGTTGACTTTCAAATGAGAAGTTTGCCTCATGCACATATCTTAATATGGTTACACCTGAGGGATAAACTTCAATCGCTTGAGTCAATTGATTGTGTGGTATGTGTATAGGTGTTTAATAAAGATAAATATCCTAGATTTTATGAGCCTGTAACTCGATTGATGATGCATGGTCCATGTTGCATAGTTGATCCTAGATCTCTATATATGGAGAATGGTAAATGCGAGAAATATTTTCCCAAAAAATTTCTTGATAAGACATCATTTGATGAGAATGACTACCTGATATACAAAAGAAGAAACTTAAAGGTCACCACAATGAGAAAGAATATTGAGTTAGATAATCGAATTGTTGTGACATACAACCCAAAACTCTTGATGAGGTTTCAAGATCAATCAACATTGAATATTGAAATAAATCTAATTCAATCAAATATCTCTTTAAGTATGTAAATAAAGATCTAGATAAAGTATCTGTTGCAATTATCCAAACTTTGACATTGTTGATAATATGGTGTGTGATGAAACAGATAAGTATTATGATTGTCATTACGTATCTACATGTGAAGCCTCTTGGAGAATCCTATCTTTTGATACACAACAGGGGTAGTGATCAGTATTGAGGTTGAATTTTCATATCCCATGGCTAAATTTTGTAACATTTAGGCACCAACAAAAACTAAAAGATTTTGTTGAATAAAATATTGATAAAGTCTCAATGTTTGAAGCTTGGATGATTTCCAATACACAGTATAATGCGGGATAAAATTTGACGTATGCAAAGAGTTTTCAGAATATTTTATGTACAACCACAAAGTGCGGAAATGGGTTGAGGCAACAAAGACCATCAATAAGCAAGCTACAATATGTGCTTACAGAAACTAGAGAGTTATACTACTTGAGAAGTATTAACTGTCCATCAAGGATGTACAAGTTATAAGTGCTTGAGGATAGTTAACAATGTTCTACATAGCGCATTCGAGGAAGCATGTGAAGCATTGGGGTTATTAACCGATGATAAAGAATTTATTGAAGGTATAAAAGAGGTCGTTAGGTTAGGATGTGGGTGCTATACCACCAATTCCTCACAAATGTGGTTGTAATGTAAAGTTTATATGTTATCCAAGAGTATGCGATTGCATTTATCTACACCCTCTTGCACAGATAGAGACACGTAAGTTTTTCTGTATAGATAAGCAAAGTCAAAGATGGAAAACTTGGACAAGTGATTGATGAAACTGCTGACGTTGAAATCTCGCTTGAATTCTTGATTCTTGACACAAGTTACCCCTTCAAGAGTATAATGGACTTTACTTATCCAAACTTATTAGAGAACATAAACATTATTCTTTTTTTAGGATAGTGCACTATTAGCACCCATACTCGAGTATGTTGAATGATAAATGAATTTGTCATATCCCTTATTCTAGGAGGTGAAAGAGAGTACTTAGGTTCTGATTCTTCATGCCAAACATATTCAGATGTAGCTGTTGAAGACGATTAGATAACAGTTCAATTTTTTGAACGAAATCAAATGTTAGGGGATCCCAAACCACAAAGTTGTTTTTAAAAAAGAGATACTGATTATGTTATTGAAAAACATTGACTAAATATCTTGATTGTGTAATGGTAAAAGATTAATCGTTAGAGGGCCGTGAAAGAACATTATCAGTGTAATTGATGTTTCGAGAAATCGCGTTGGGAAAAAAGGTTTACATTCCTTGAATGGATTTTTGTATCATCTGATACAATTTTCAATAGTCTTATGTTTTGCTATGAGTTTTAACAAAAGTCAATGTCAAACATTGTCTTTTGCTATATTATTTTTAGCAAATTAGGGATCTACTCATGGTTAGCTTTATGTTACTGTTTCACGAGTAAATGCAAAGACATGATTAAAAATATTGGTTCTAGATAATAATGAAAACCTCACAACTATACAAAAATTGTTGTGTACCCTAAGGTATTTAAAAAAATTTGGAATTATAAAAGATTTTTTCGAGTACACTTTCAATTTCTCAAATATTATTTATTCTACTTTGTTGTTGTTGTCCATTGATTACAAATCGTGTTAGAAATATATTTACTTGATTCCGGAATAAATATTTCATTAAAAAAAATTAAAATCGGCAAAAATTTCGTTCGACCCCGTACATCGCACGGGCCAAAATACTAGTTTTAACTTCTTTCTCTCTTTCATTTCGATAACTTCTCTTTGTTTTTCATTAATTATTTAATAAAATAAAATACTCTTATCTTTTCTTGTTTTGTAGAACTTTTAATGTAATTTTTTAATATATAATTTTATTTTTTTATCAATATATCAATTTGTAAATAAAATAATTTCAAAAGATAAAACATTTCTCCTCGTAAACCCCAATTTGATTGACGAAGCAGTATATGACATAAGAGCATGTACAACTACTTACTACTTCTCTTCTACACGTCAGATTCCACGTTGAATTCCATGTTCTCACCCCACAACTAGGGGTGCATACAAATCAAATAAAATGTATTCGATTCGTGATTCGTATTCGAAAAGAATGATTCTATTCGAATCCGAATCCGAATACAAATCATATTTTAGATTCGAATTATTTTCGAATTCGAATACAAATATTTAGGGGTGGGCGTGAAATCCGTTCTCGTTAGACCGTTCCGAAAAATCCCGGATCCGTTTTGTAATTGTACTAATATATTGGGACACATTTTTTCATCCTGAACCCTTTCCGTCCCAATATCAAATGGGACATGAGCGGAACAACTAAAATTTATACCGATCCGTCCCGTTTCATCTACTTTACTAATATATAATACTAATTCTAGTCCAATATCCAAATACACTCATTCTTTAATTAATTAGTTATTTAATTAAGTTAACTTCATAGGCTTGAAATTTATTTGGACCTATTCCACTCATTGTTTTTTGTTAGATGGCTACATGTTTCTTTTTTGAATGAAATTTCACCCTCCCCCTTCTTATATTTGCGATTTAGGACAAAATAGGACGACCTAAATCCGTCCCTATTTATTCCGATCTTGAATTTTATGTGACAAACCGGGATAAGGTTGTAATCCGAACCGTTCCGGACCGTTTGTATATAACCGGACAAGACGTGGGACAACCTAAAACCCGGACCGTCCCGATCCGTGCCCACCCCTACAAATATTAATAGATTCGATTCGTTTAGTATTCAAATGATTCGAATATTATAATTTATAAATAAATTTATATATATATTCTAATATATTAAATATTTGTGTACATATTTTAACATATTTTAATATATTAAATTTTTGTGTGCATATAAATTTATATATATTCGAATATTATAATCTATAAATAAATTTTTATATATTCTAACATATATTTACTATATTTTACATTATTATAAAATACTCCGTAATAATTTAATGTCTTTAAGAAATCTGTTTTAAGAAAAAATTACTAATATTTTTGAATTCGAATATGAATTCAAATACGTCAAATATCTATCGAATCGAATACGAATGTTTTTTAAAATTTGAATTATATACGAATCCGAATTCGAATACATATCACTTTAATCGAATATGGATCGAATAGTGATATATTTGCTTAGATTTGGAATTGGTAGTGCAAAAAATATTTTGGAATTGAATTGGTGAATTCAATTTCTATGGAATTGAATCCCATGGAATTTTAATTCCAATTCAATTCCAATTCCATTAATTCCGTGTACCAAACGGAACGTAGAATCTTATTTTAGAGTTAAAACATGATACTCCAATTTCTTGACAAATTTTTTATGTTTTATTTCTAACAATGTAGACTTCTTAATTTTTATCTGAGAACAAATAAAAATTTCATTCATTTTATTTTCAAAACAAATTATACTTATCCCTATTAAAAAACTACTCCCTTCGTCCCAAATTATAATGTCTGTTCATTATTCACATGGTTAAAATTCATTTGCTTTCTTTCTCTATTTTCGTTAGCAAATTGATAAAATAAAGTATTATTGTCATTGCTAGTTTTGTAGATCTTTTGATGTAGTATTTTAATATGTAATTTTTATTTTTTTAACACTATACCAGTTTTCATATAAAATGATTTGAAAATAATTTCAGTCAAACATCGTAAATCGAAACAGACATTATAAATTGGGACCAATGGAGTACTAAACTTTCTCATACGGAGTAAATGAAAAGAATGGAAAGAAATGTCACATGCTAAGCACGGATTGGCTCTCCCATCCCATTTCTTCTTCTCCACGGACTAGAACTCCTCCTATCTCTTGAGGAGGACTTCTCCTTCTCCTCCTGCCAATGCTTATACTTCTCCTGGAGGACTCCTTCAACTACTTCATTTAATGTGGGTGGCTTAAGGGCCCGTTTAAGTACAATTAGGGTCCACTTATCCCCTCCTAATTCTATCAGAATTGGTTTAGGCCACACTACCTAGTTCATCAATCATAACTTGGGCCAACCAACTCCAATTTGTGATCTGTTTGCATAGTCGGATCCAGGGTACGTAGCAAGCTCTAGAGCATAGGATAAATTTCCATATTAAAAATACAAATTTCAAGATAATTTTATTCCAATCAAGCTCAGTAATTAATCAATTATTTAAATGAATTAAAATACCAAGTTGGGTTTTGGAGTATTACAGGTGCTGCTCTAATTGCCGTTTGAGTTGGGTCTTCTACAGAGAAGAAAGAACGTGATAGAAGCTTAAGTGACTTTTTGGGGTGGTATGAACGGTACGTTGATTCAGAATGAACACTATGTTATTTTAGAATGTAGACTACGTTATTCATAAATATTTTTATCGTAATCAACAAATATGTGAAAATGAGCACAATATTTTTTTAGGATGAGCACTACATTGGTTTAAAATGAACCACCACGTTATTTCCAAATGAAAACTCTTTTACCTGAAAAATAAACATTATGTTTTGTGAAAAAAATGAATACTGCCTTACTCCAAGATGAGTACTACCCGGAGGAAGTAGTTTGCAGCAAATTTGTTGCAAACTATCAATGCAGTTTTGGAGCAAAATTATTGCTAGGAGGTTTAGTGTCTAGGGCAAATATTTGCCACGAGAACTATAAGTCTGTCACAAAAATCTCATTGATTCTATTTGCTTCAAACCCGTGGCAAACTTGGCGAACTTGCGAAGAAATGTATCCCATGGGAGATTTCCATAGCAATTACGTCAAATGTTGTACCGGATTTCCCAAGCGAGCAAATTTTAAGTTGAATCGAAGTTTTAAAATATTAACTTCTCTCACTTGATGATTCTCAAAACTTGTCGTGAATAACCCAGTCAAAAGGGCTCCACGTGATAGTGTTGGGCAACACGTAACGGTAGAGTCACATGGCGCACAATAGTCACAAAACCAACAACCAATTCCCGGGCTTTTCTAAGTAAACCCGGGGTTTTGGAGTGTTGGATCGGACCGGTTTAGGGTCCAGCTCCGGATTCAACCGGTCACCTCGAGTTTTAGCAACACTGCAGTAAACTTATTCCATATATAACCCGGTCAAGTTCTGTTAAATACCACCCCGACTATGTATGTAATTACACCATCACTATTGGAATCCACCTTTGTGTCCACAAATTGCATCACTTTCGGTGAATATGTGTGTTCTAATTCATGATTCCAAAGGAAACATGTAATCCATTTTTTTAAAATGTCCTCCTCTCTTTTTGACTAAGTTTCAAAAGGTGCATGCATTTGACAATTCCCCCTTCACATTTTGCATAATAATTAAAAAAATTTGTGAAAACTTAATAAAGCCAAAGTAAATGGGAGGTTTGTCAAAAGGAGTGCAAAAGATGAAAGCAAAACAGAATAGATTGTCTGTGATGAAAGAATCCACTAATAAGTAATTAATTGGCTACAAACAATCTCCATGGTGTACCAGTCCGGCAAGATTTTGTTCCCCTCTGTTCTTTTTCTTTAGCCAAAAAAAATGCATTAAAGAATCCAAGAACCATTAGAGAATCCAAGAATGGGTTCCAATGTACTCTTCATTTTTCTTCTGTTTCTTGGGGTTTTCTGTTTACAGTCTGCTTGCAAAAGTAAAGAGCATAACGCACTGATGGAGTTAAAGGACGGTTTAGACCCCGGAGGCCAGCTCCTCTCTTCTTGGAACATAGATGGAATTACATGCAGTTTTGAAGGGGTAGGCTGCAATGAGGAGAAAAAGGTAATCAACATTTCTCTGCCAACAAAAGGTCTCACCGGAAGGTTGTTGCCGGTGGTGGCAAACCTCACGTCGCTGTCCGGCCTCTACTTGCATTACAATAACTTGAGTGGGGAGATTCCGAGTGAGATTGGGAAGCTCAGTAGGCTGACAGATTTGTACCTCAATGTCAACAACTTCTCTGGGAGCATACCACAAGAAATTGGAAACATCAGTAGTTTGAAAGGTACTATGCTTTTTTAAACATTATGAATAAGAAATCGAAGAGGAATAATTAGGTCAGGCGAATTCTGTCGGACACGAATGGTCATTGTCTTTAGATCATCATGATAACTGATCTAAAGGCAGTGAGTAGCACCCGTGCCAGATATAAATAATTGGCCGTGCCTGACCTGATCATTCATCATAGATTGAATACCTAATTTTCTGATTCTGCTCAGAATTTTATGTCCAAACTTATAGCATATTAAAAGTTGTTAATTTGTTATTGACCAGAGTATGTATATCCATCGCAGCTATACAAAAAATTTGTTTTTCCAATGGGATGATAGATTGATTTCTTGGTAAATACAAAAAGTTGAAAAGATTTTTTAGCTTTCTGAATTCTCTCATATTTGTTGATTTCAGTGCTGGAGATTAGTTATAATCAGTTAACAGGAGGCATACCTGAAGAGATCGGGGCCTTGAAGAAATTGGAGATTCTGGCATTAGAATATAACAAGCTGGTTGGGTTTATCCCTCCAAGTTTGGGGAGCCTGAAACTGTTAAAGAGTGTATTTCTTGGCTTCAATCGGCTCTCTGGTCAGATTCCTACAACACTGGCTAGGGCTCCCAATTTGGAGTTTCTTGATGTTCAAAATAACACTCTTGCTGGAGCTATACCTCCTGGTCAGATTCCTAAAAAGATATACAAGTAATAATAATGATGATCTTGTGTTCTCAATCTGACTTTATTCTTTCTTTCTTATTCTTTGGCTGCAACTTTGAAGATTTAAAAAGATTGAACGAATCTTTCCGTGGCGCAAATAACTCCGGCTTATGTGGTAATGGATTTTCACTGGTGAGAGTTTGCACATCCTGGGATGCTGGAATCATCAATATCGTTGATCCTCCATTAGCATCTGAACCTCACAATGAAACAGCCCCAGTAAGTGCTCCAGAACATCCAGACATTCCGCTGCCTTGTGATCCCGGTCATTGCCCAACTTCATCATCACTATCATCATCCTCTCCCTCCAAGACCCGACAATTTGGCATTATTATAGGGGTCATATCTCTTGTTGTAACATTGTTAGTCGCTATGGCGGTTGCCATGTTTCTCTATCGTTGGCATAGCCAGAAGGAGGAGAACACATCTAAGCCATATGATGATCCTCACGTGAATGAATCGGTAAGATATCCATCAACACGAATGAATCTTGAACATTCAGATCAATTGGATGTGATGTCCCCGGATTACTGTACCTTGGATGATGATGATCGCTTACTAGGAGGGTTCAAGTATAACTTGGAAGAAATTGAATCTGCAACTCAGCATTTCTCCTATAACAATCTGTTGGGGAAAAGCAAATTCTCTGCTGTTTACAAAGGAATAATAAAAGATGGATCTACAGTGGCCATCAAGAGCATAAATGCAACAGCTTGTAAATCTGATGAGTCCGAGTTCATGAAAGGGTTGAATCTACTAATGTCTCTGAAACAGGATAACCTCGTTGAGCTGAGGGGCTTTTGCTGCTCAAGAGCGAGGGGGGAATATTTTTTGGTGTATAGTTTTGCTTCTAAGGGTAACTTGGCACTGTACCTTGATCTTGAAGAGGGTGACGAGCGAATTCTCAACTGGCCTAGAAGGGTTTCAATCATCAAAGGAATTGCGAAAGGTTAGTGTTACCCACTTTACCATCCATTACAAGAACTAAAGGGGTCATTAATAATGTTTTAGCTTCAAACAAGAACTAAATCAAAATGACACATCAAATTTCCATTGCTCCTTACTTTGTATTGAGGTTTTGGGTAGTAAATGCAACAATGCATCAAGGGGCTTACGGAAACCGCCTCTGTTTTGCACGGTAAGACTGTGTACATCTTGACCCCCCCCCCCTCCAAATATAAATAAATCGAACAGAAACAGAGTTCGGATTATACTTGGTTTGCTGTTGTTGTTACCCACGATACATCATACTCTCTCACAAACACAACTACACAAGAACTTCATTCATTGGAGCTAAAAGAGTCATTAATGACAATGTTTTAACTTCAAGTAAATAATAGACTAAATCAAAATGACACATTAAACTTCTATTGCTTATTGGTTTCCATGAGGTTTTGGGTAGTAAATACAAAAATGCATCAATGTTTAATGTAAAGTATCTCTGTTTTTAACGAGGATAAGGCTATGTACATACTGAAAACCATACCCAACAATATTGGAATTATACTGGCCTTTGTTGACGTTGATTTGCATTTTTGTTTCCCATTAAACAGGTCTTGGGTATTTACACGATTCTGAAGGCAACAAGTCCTCCATTGTTCACCAGAACATATCAGTGGAGAAGATCCTCCTTGATGAACTGTTCAATCCACTGATCTCAGATTCGGGCCTTCTAAAGCTCTTTGCTGAGGATGTTGTTTATTCTGCCCTGAAGGTCAGCGCTGCCCTTGGGTACATGGCTCCTGAGTACATCACCACTGGCCGCTTCACAGAAAAGAGTGATGTTTACGCCTTCGGAGTCATCATTCTTCAAGTACTATCAGGGAAATGTATACTCATGAGCTCGGCAAGACAGGTAGCAGAGTCTCGCAACTTTGCAGCTTTGATTGATCCGAATCTGAAAGGAAGTTTCTTTGAAAGTGAAGCGGCTAAGCTAATCAAAGTTGCACTAGATTGCACAACTGAGATTCCTGGAGAACGGCCTTCCATGGCTGCAGTCA